AGAAAATGGTGCCTTTCATGAAAATATACAGCACATGTAAGTCGAAAAAAAAAATTTGAAGTTAACAATATAGAATGGTAACAGTACTGGGCGGAGTCCAGTTGATCCAGTTCAGTTTGCAATCAAACGAGTGATTAGATACTAGATGACTATGACAACACGAGGTTCTGTTAACGATTAATCAAAATTAAAACAAAATTTGAGAAAGACATTTCTGTGAGATAACGCAAGACTTCACGAGGTATTGTTAGACGTGAAACAAGACCAAGTTAAAAGTACCACTGTCTTATTGGTGAGCCGGTAGAAAGAAGAGGACGGTTAAAAGCTTGTGTTTGTGTGCGTGAAAAACGTGACAGGAATTTTGCCTGCGTGTTTTGTTGTGATCTTCACCTAATATTAATGTCTCTAGTCTTTTACAAAAGACCCGTTTTAAGGAGGGTGAAGTTTGGCGGAGCGCAATTATTTTCACGTTTGTCACACAAGGTTTACCGTCTTCTTTCCTTTCCCGTCCTTTTGCGTAAATTCACTATTACGTTGCAGACGACGGCGACGGCAGCGAAAACGTCTTCATTAAAACTGTGTCGCGTTTACTCCAACCCGCTTAAAGTGCTAAGTGTTGGTGAATTTTCCTGTAGTTGAATTCTTGGGTCCTCACCCAAGTTTAGAAAAAGAAAGACACATTCCTGTTTGCATGTGTGCATTTTTTTTGCTTATCAAAGCTAATGCTTTTTTTACGTTCTCGTAGCCATCGTCGTCATCGTTGCTAAAGCCCCCTTTTACTTTGGCATGACGCGTACTGTCTCATTCTACTGAAATTAGAATAGTTGATAGCCAATCAGATTTGAGAATTTTGTTATAATTATGATTATGCACTTTAAAGCTTGAAATATCTTAAGTTATACAGTGAAATTGGGTTGATAAAATTTACCGTTGCAAAAAGACTTGAAGTACTTTTTACGGTGGTAAATTGAAAGTAGCCCCTTCACTTGATGACTCACTCTGTTAAAAATGTCCATTCAAAATTATTTTGACTTTTTTTGAAAATGACAAAAAAATAATGAACTATGTTTCAGCCACATGGAGGGAAATCGATTCACCTTTAAGCACGAGAATCAGTTCACGAACTTGACTAAGTTAACACAACTGTAAGTAACAAGAATCACATTTTAAGATCAAAATTTATTTTGCAATGTGGTATGTGTACGACAGGCTCGAATATTGTCTCCTTACAAACACGTAGTGCTGGTCTCCATCAGGTGGTGGTATTGATTTAGACCCTGTTAACACGGGTCCGGGCAAATTTTAAACGAACAAAAAGGCTTCCACAGATCCGCCTTTCGTTTACACGGGACGCGGGAACCGGGCAAGTTTTTGACCCGATCAGAGGTAGGTCAATTTTTTTTTATCTGCACGGTTCCACTTTTACGCGGACTCGTGTAAACACCTGAACCGTGCGCGTTTTTGCACATTTTGCGCGGTAAGAGCCTTGTTACGCGCCTTTGATTAAAATAAAGCCATTCCAATGCTGACACTTGCAAAAATTTGTACTGACTCGAGAAAACAGTAGTGTAACACAGTTTGCAAGGGTAAAATTTGACCGTTCAAAAAATTTTGTCCGGATTCATGTAAACGGAGTCTTACTAGCAGGAATATTGGAAGAAGCAAATTTTGTTTAGCGCACTTGAACTTCATTTTAAAAAGTATTATATATTGAGGCTTATCGATGCACCACCTTAAATAATTGTGTGGTATTATTTTTCTTTCTTTTTCTTTTTTTTTTCTTTTTTTTTTTTTTTTTTTTTAAACACATTCTTTTCTTTTTGGGGGTTTAGGGAAAATTAAATAACAACTTTTTCTTCTACAGCCTTTCCTTGACTTTTACCCTTTTCATTGCTTTTAATTTTTTCCCCAAAAAAATAAAATGTATTGCAATGAAAGAAACTCAAAATAAACAAAATAGAAATTACCAAAAACAGGCCAATAAAAAAAAATTTTGTACGGATTCATGTAAAAGGAGTCTTACTAGAAAGAAAATTTGAAAAAGAAAATTTTTTTTTGCTCACTTGAAATTCATTTTAAAAAGTATTATATATTGAAGTTTATAGATGCACCCCCTTAAATAATTTTTTTGTTTTTTTTTTTTTTTTTTTTTTTTTTTTTTTCTTTTTTTTTTTTTTTTGATGAAACACATCGTTTCCTTTTAGAGGTTTAAGGAGAAATCAGATACGAACTATTCCTCATACAGCCTTCCATGGACTTATACGCTTATCATGGCTGTAAGTATTTCGCCAAAAAAATTAAAGTGTATTGCAATGATGGAAGCTCAATATAACGAAGTGAGCATAGTCCAGATGACTGCTAATAGGACTGTTGTTGACAGTGTTTAAGCTACGCGGTTATCATCTTTAGAGTAAATGATCACGAAGTAGCCTTTTGTACATCTCCCATAATACATCTTGTTCCCTACCCACTTGTTCGTAAGAAATTTTTATGTTTAGGTTATGAAAAAATTTGGATGAGGGCAAACAACAAATTTTGAGACAAAAGTTGTACATTTTACGAGAATTTGATTTTCTTTACATCATTTACTTTTCGCAGTGACCTTGGTGAAAACAAGATTGGGCGAATACTGAAGATTTCTTTTCGCGACCTTGCTAACGTGGCAACACTGTAAGTTCTCAGGAAGCTTCTCTGTGGTTCAATAGGATTTTATTGTTTACTTACAACTCAAAAGAACCTTTTGACCTTTGCATTTCAATTCTTAGTTCTTAGTTCTGAGTTTATTACTCTCCTAAATTTAGTGCGACTATGTTAGGCTAATCCCAAGAGCCAAAATAGAGGGACGGAATAATAAATGGCTTCCGCAAGTGTTCGTTCTTAGTTTTACGTGACACTATTTGCTATAGTTTTAAAAACCTAAAACTTCTCTTCGGGCAATCGAATTTCAAAATAAAAATCGGCCAATTAAGTTATTTAAGACTACATTAAGACAGTGAACCTGTTTCTTGTCGTCTGTGGCAACGGTTGGCAAGGATGGACAGGGATTGAAACTTAAAAAAATTGTCCCAACTATACCTATACCAAAAAATTATAATCTATGGTTAGTGCTCCCTGATAAAATAAGTTGGATATCTTCTTCATAATTCTTACTGAGCATTTTTGATGGGTAAAAGCACGAAGTAATGTCTTCAACACAGAATTGACCTAAAGCAAAAATGTCCTAGTGCCCTTTTAAATAGATCAAAACATGAAGTCGTATTGAAGCCAATGTAAACCATTAGATTGAAAAAAGCGTCGTTTGATTCTCCTATGGGAAGCCCAGTTTCTGCTGTCCCAAGTTGTACAGCTGGCAATACGTCAGTGTTTTCCCCGAACCACTCAATAGTCTAACGCATTGATTCTACGGCGTAATTATTTCAAGATCAAACACAAACCGCTCTAAAGAAAGATGACTACAAATTAAACAGCATAGCAATTTTTGTTAGTTAGTCATTTGTTTATAGTCCACAATTTTCTGCCTTGGCATTGCCCATTCAAGGCGACCCATCTTTTAGCATGTTTATTTATACTGCACTACTCTGTTGTCTTTGCAAACAGAAATTTAGATAACAATGAGATTGCGTTTATTGAAGATGGAACGTTTGCCGGAGTTCAACGCTTTGGTAATTTGTAAGTGCCCTGAATTTTCATTATGAGTAAATATATGCACTTTACCATCATAATAAATAAACTAAAATCAGTTAATAAATCAATAAATAAACAAATAGATAATGATCTTGTTATATACTCCTAATCGAATAGCAATTTGAAATGTTTTAGTTTTGAGGAGAGGGAAAAACCGCATAACTCAGAGAAATTTCTGTTGAAGCACAGAGGTGAACCAACAACAAACTCCATGTTACTAATTAGGATTATACTTTTTTAAAAAAAGATAAAAAGATTTATGGGACTAAAACAAGGATCATTTGGGAAATTTTTATAAGCGAAAGCTAGAGCTAAGGGCAAGGAAAAATTGGTAAATTTCATGGGAAAAGTCATGGGACGTCATCATTGATTTTGAAGAGCTCAAAAGAATACGAACCCTGTTAAGTAAGCTTTGCCTGCTAAGATTTCGTTTGTGTTTGATCGTTAATTCCCAGTCCCGTTTCACTACCCTGGGTCTCCGATAATGCTCAAATTGCGGCTAATACCAGCTTGTTTATTATGCAATTAGAAAACTGCAATACAACCAGCTTACGTCTCTACCGAACGGTGGCGATTTCAGCAACAAGCAAATGAATATCATGTGAGTAAGATTGTATTTCAGGTCATACTTGTAACCTAGCGACTTCGGCTAAAATTTCCTTAGATAAACAAAACAACGTTCTGTTTATATGTTGCTATAAATTTTTGCTAGTCCGTGAGAAAATAACAAGTTTAATTTTTTTTAAGAAACTTTTCGAATAACAGAATAACATCGATTGCCAATGGAACTTTTGTCAATGTGAGGTGTGTCTCGGGTGGATGCGGGCCTTACGATAAAGGGACGATATGGTAAGTTCATAGTATTCAATACATTTATTTCTCTTAGTTTGAAATTAAAGCCTGTTTTTCAATTACCTTTTAAACCCTAATATCAAAATTCAAATTCTCATTTGTTGTCCCTATACATTTCCTATAGAGGTAGAGGGAAGGATTCGTTTAAGTATAAATTAGATTCATCTTGTGTGATCATGAGCTTTATTCTCATCACCAATGTGATGTGTACAGCTTTGATATTACAAGGAGAAATTTGATGATTACTCTTAGGGCATGAAGGGTAAAAGCATTTTATTATATAGACATGAGTGTTTTACTGGAAAATATACCACTCGTAAAATTCTTAAAAACTACATCCGGGACCCGAGTGGTTTATTTTCCATAATCTCACACGTGAATTTATCGATGACGTAATTTCGGTAATTTCCCTCCGAAATTTGTAGGCGTCTTGCAAACGCTGCCAAACATTCCCGTGAACGAAAATGGCGAGCAAAAGATTCGTCAAGTTTACTGAAGAGGAAATTGCATCGTTTACCGAAGACCAAGAAAATGCCAATACGAAGAAGAAAACTGTGTGTGATCTAAAATTATTTAACGAGTTTCTTAACAGCGAGGAAGAGAGAAACATAGAAAATATTCCAGCCGCCGAGCTCCAACAGTTGGCAAAGAAGTTTGTACCCGGAGTAAGAAAGAAAAATGGCGAGGAATATGAACCATCTTCTCTAAGAGGGTTTTTGCAAAGTGTTGACCGCTACCTCCGTAAAAAAGGATGCACATTTTCCCTTTTGACTACGACAAAAAAATTCTGTGAGGTTTAAGATATCCTGAAAAAGAAGCAGAAACAACATAAGGCCAAAGGAAAGGGAAACAACCCCAATAGTGCCGATGCACTAACAGATGAAGAAATAGAGGAATTCTACCGGGCAGGAGTGCTCGGAAAGAAAACGCCACGAGCACTTCTGAATACAGTTTGGATGAACAATTGTATCTATTTCGGCATGAGGCCTGGACAACAGCAACGAGATCTTTGCTGGGGAGATTTGGAGCTGAAAACTAATGCCGACGGGCTTCGTTACGTGAAGTTTTCCACCGAGCGCCAAACAAAAACGAGAACTGGTGAAAACACAACAAATGTCAGAGAAAGCAAGCCAAAGATGTTCGAAAACCTTGACAATAATGATCGCTGTCCTGTCACAGCCTATTTGGCCTATAAGCAACATAGACCACCAGAAATGATGGCAGACGACTCTCCGTTTTATCTTGCTGTCAACACAGAAGTTCCGAAGGCAGGGAAGAAATGGTTCAAGGCAGCTCCACTGGGAGTAAATTAACTTAGATCTATGGTGAAAAACATGTGAGCGGCCTCCCAAGTTCATTCAGACAAGAAATTGGTCAACCACAGCACAAGAAAGCATCTAGTCCACAGGGGCGGATCCAGGATTTTTTATAGGACGGGGTGCACTCGTCTCTTGCTCTACTTCAACACCAATAAACCACATAGTTTTTTTTGCAGAATACCAGTTGTATTAAAAAACCGCAGGTCATCTCAGGGCGAGGGGGGGGTGCGCACCCCCTGCACCCTCCCCCTAGATCCGCCCCTGGTCCAGAAACTTGTGGATAATAATATTCCACCGAACGAAATTGTGCAAATAACTGGACACAAAAACGTCAATTCACTGAATAACTACTCCGCTATTTCTGACAGAAGACAGCAGCACATCTTTACAGTATTATCCAGGAGAGGGGAATCTTCTACTTCTGTTGCTACTTCGTCTTCGCCAAAAGTAACAGTAGATGAATTTACATCGGTATCTACAGTTCAACCCAGCACAAGTGCAGGAATAACTTTGCCCTTTCTTTACCAGTGCCAGGTAGGAACAGTGAACATTTTCACAAATTTGCAGAATCCAAAAGCCAGCGATTTTGAGAAAACACATCAGTTTAAAAGACGGAGAATTGTTATTGATAGTAGCGATGAAAGCCAATAAACCGTTCTTTGGCCTTTTTTCATGCCTTTTTTCTCATTTTGTTCACATCTATTGAAAACTTTTTTGCCGCCTTATGACTAGGATTTGGTAAATTATCACTGTTATGATTTAACTATGATTCAAAGCTTTTTATTACTTATCATTTTTTTCCAATTTTACTTACACATTTTTCAAAGCTTTGCTTATATTTTGTCATTGTAGAGCCCTATTCAGCTCAGTGTTATTTCTCTAGATTGTTGTAAAAGATGTCTTATATTGCTTAAGTACTGTAAATTTGAGCCGTCGTAATTACTTTTTGGCGAATAAAAATCTATTATTTTATCGATGTCTTTTTGTCTATATAATAAAAAGAACATTACTCGGCGGCTTGAAGATATGAATTTTATTTTCGAGTGGCAAAAACAATATTTTACGAACGAGCGCAGCGAGTGAGTAAAATATTGTTTTGCCACTCGAAAATAAAATTCATATCTTCGCGCCACCGTGTAATATCCTCTATGTTATTACGCTAGGCGCGTCGCAAAAAAAGGCCAAATGTTTTCTTCCCAGCCATATCGGCTGAGCTGGCAGTAGTTAAACTAGTGGTCCTAATCAGTCATTTTATCACAATGCGCCTTAGAGAACTTCCATAAACTAAATAGCTATTGATCATGCCTTTTATTTCCCGCGTAGGGCTCTCTTTTCCGCGAAAATAGAATCTCCACCATGTGAGCGCGTCCAAAGCAAGCATAAGATATCAAAAAGGAAGACTAAACGTTATTTAAAGGCAAAAAATATATATCATTTTTAGGTCTGTAGGTTTTTTCTGACTGGTTTGTAGAATTTAAAAGATAAAACCCATCTAAAAATAAACTGGTCCGTGAAAACGCCGTGACACGAGCGCATGGAAGTTGCTCGCCGCTGATTATGGGCTCCTGCCATCTGATGACGACAGTTTTTTCCTTTCTTATATTGCATTGTTGTAGGAAGTTTGAAAACAATGAAATAGTGTCAATAGACGGAGGTGCCTTCAGGGGATTTGATGGCCAGCGGTGTACACTGTGAGTATAGAAACAATTGAACAATAGCCCACGTTCGATATACTAAAATTCTAACAGGCCCCTGAGGCTTTCTGGTCATATTTCTATATTTGGATTGGTTTTCTTTCTGCTCAAGTCTCTTCTGGGAATTTCGGGACAATGGAGTCGTGAAAAATTTGCAATTCTGCCCCTAAAGCCTCGGAGTCATGTTAGAATTTTAATAGGGAGCTTACGCAACAGCGTTTTTGTAGTTGAAACTCTCGGGTAAATCGTCTTTATAAGAGAAAGGAAACTTTTCAGTACAAATTTGTTAGCATCAAGGCAGAAGGCTTTACTTCCGGTTGATGGGCGTCGCTCAAAAACGTCGATACTTAAGCTCCCTTATACTCAATATCGAACGTGGGCTATTGCCAAAAGGCTCATCAGTACAGTAAAAACCCATGACTAAGAACCTGCATTTTTCAGTGTTAACCTAAACAGGTTCTTACATAAATGGTAATTAGCACAAATCATAGGCTATTTAGATTCTTAAATAGGCTCTTCTCTTGAAAGGGCGGAAAACCACTGGCAGCTCTTTCACTGCTGTTATTCGGACTATAAAGAACCCACACCTTTGCTCGTAAAGAGTAGGATATTTAGGGCGCGGTTGTGTTGCTAACCGTAAACGTGTGTATATCTATGTGTGGTCAAAATCAGCTTTCAATCTGGCCTCAGTTGTTCGAAAGGTGGATAGCGCTATCCGCCGGATAAATCGCTATCCCGTAGGTAACACATTGGGCCACGTAGCAGCTCCTCGGAAGAGAAGTCACCAATGTTGCGTTTCCTTGACCCGAGATTAGATTTTCTTATAAACTTGGACACAGCTTACTATAATTAAGCGTTACCATTTGAAAATTTTTTGACCTAATTTTAACAGACGGGGTTCTTAGATAATCAATAATATAATTGTACTGTAATTATTCAATGTACCGCAAAAATAGTCTGTTCAACTTCCATTTCAAAGCTCGCATTATTGAAAATACGAGTAAAGTAAAAATTCTGCCAAATATCACAAAATTTTAAAGGGTTCATTTTGAGAAATAGTCTTCTGTGTACATTGCTTTTTTCGCCGCCATGTTTGTTTGTCTAGTTCAAAACACGCGACGTCACGCTAGTTACCGCTGATCGCCCGCAACACTGTGTTCAACCACCTTAAATGTTTATTTTGTTTTTTTTTTCCGCAAGGCAATTTGGAGGAACCGACATGAACTTACTGCGGAACATTGGTAGTGGTGCCTTCGACAACGTAAAAGCCTGTCAGATGTAAGTAATGAAAAAAGTGAGACAAATACCCAAAGTTTTGCTTTTACTGAGTAGGTGATATTCGCTTGTTGCTCTTTACATACTCAGCGACCTTAAGAACTTGAAACTGACGAAGATAGCACCGGAGTCTTTCAGAGATGTCTTCGTTTCCAATGATATGTGAGTAAAGCTTCCTTCCTTATTACGGTAAGATGGATTCCATTAATGCCTGAACCGCCTGCAGCTCTTAGTGGGGGGGGGGGGGGGAGGGGGGGGGGGCGAAAACAGTTTTTGAGGCGGTGTTGACAAAAGTGGGTGGGGGGAAAAACGCGTTTGAACACACACACAAACTCTCTCCACATTTGATTTTCTCCTTTTTTCGTTTGTAGTTGTTTCGTGTTTATGTCTTCTTTAGTGTATATCGTTGTATGTTTCTGTTTTTAGAATGTAGTTTGCTACATATGTTTGTTTTTAGTATGGTGTGTATGTGATCTGGGGCGGTGGGGGGTGGTGGGGGGGTGTGGGTGGGTGGGGGCGGGTGAAGTGGGGAAGAAGGATCAGAGTTTTTTCGTAGGCTAATGACAAAGTGTTTCGGGAGAAAACAGAGTTTGAGACCAAACGTTAATCGTCTTCTCATTTCCTTTTGTTCCTTTTTTCTAGTTAGGTTTGTTTGTTGGTTAGTCTTTATTTGTTACTTCATTGTTTGATTGTTTGCTTCTTTTTAAAGCGAGCTTCAAGAAAACAAAATACAAACAATTGAGGAAAATGCTTTTCTAAGGATCAACACGAGGCATCTGTAAGTATTAGTAGAACTGAAACATGGTTGATATTACCTCCTGTAAAATAATGAATTGTATAATCCTTTTCGAATGCTCTTAATTTCCGACTAAATGAAACTTACTAAGCAGTACTGGTCGATAAAGACGAAGGATGGTCAAAGGCAAACGAAAGACCACTACTATGGCGGTGCAATTTTTTCTCTTTTTTTTCTGGAGTCGATATTCCGAAAAGCTAGCAGGAAATGGACCGTTCAAAACTGTAGCGTTACTGTTAAAATCGACTTCACCAGCGTTTCTAGTCTACACTGAATGTATTCATATAACAATGTAGACAATACTAAATTGTATTCATATTTATAGAGATGACGTCTATAAATGTTCAAAATTTGCAGTAAAACTACTCACCTGCGGCTCTCGATTACGCTTGAGTTCTAGACATTTTGACACCTTTTCAGTTATCTGTAGCTAGGCTGGAGTGCACGAATTGAAAAATTGTAGTCAGGTTTTATCTTCATCGTAAACTTTTCTCCTCTTTCGGACACTTCATATGGGGCATACAACGAGCAAATTATTTTTAAGAAAGTGTACCATTCGCCACTCAGTTTAGAAACTAGCAGGAGACTGGAGCCGAAATGTGTCCCGCAATTGTTTTTGGGATTGTTACCGGGCACGCCCAGCTATTTGCCTATTTTTCTCCCTGTCACCAGGAACAGAAGAAGAAGCTTTTGCGAACGTAAGCTTGGCCAAGTTTCCTTCTCGTTTTTAAGGTGGCGAATTGTGCGTTCATCCAACCCGCAAATTTTAGTGTGATTTTTAGTTGTGTTTGATATAACAGAAAACTTTATGGCAATGCTATCCAGGCCATCACGGTCAAGATGTTTGGGGACAGTGGATCGATAATACGAGGACAGCTGTAAGAATGAGATACGTTCATACATTATCTAGTATTTAACTGACATAGTAGAATCTTCAGTGTTACATCAGAATAAGAAAGTATAGTCGAGCTTCTCCATAACGGCCATCTTGGGGAGAGACGAAAGTGGCCGATGTAGAAAGGTGGCGTTTATGGGGTGGTAGTGGTGTAATGCGACAAATTTTTTTTAGGGAGCACATCATGCTTACTGTCTCCCATAATAGTAATAATCCAATCGTTAATGATATAATTATATAGATGAAAAAGGCGGAAGGCTTGAATTATGTTTTGAATCAGAATGTTAACAAGAAAACAAGTCAGAAATGTTCGCAACATTCGCTATCAGTATCGTAGACAATTTATGCTTACTGCAGCAGTATAAATGAAACAAAATCAACATATATGCTTGCCGATAAACAAGCAATTGAAGATGAACTTTTCATCGACGGAGGTAAGCATGTTATAGCTTGTTTTTAAACTAGAAATTATTTTGAATGAATAATATATATATAAAACAATATTGAATTCGTCTTTCGTATCATCTGACGAACTGTGGAGATCGCGGAAGGGTGTTAACACCCTCCTTGATCTCCATAATTTTTCAGATGATACTCATTATCATTAGTAGTAGTAGTAGTCGTCGTCGTCGTCGTCGTCGTCGTCGTCGTCGTCTGTAGTAGTATGTAACAAGGCAGTCCTAAGTGTCCACACGAAGAGTATTCAAATCGCTTTCGTCTGTCCCCACGAAAACGCTAAAACGATGGAAATACGATGGTATGGGCATGAGCTGTATATGATGCATAACATGTATGATTCTCTGATTCAATGGCTACTGGTGTTTCAATGTCTCTTTTAGGGATCTTGCAAACAATCAAATTCAAAGCCTGGAGGATGATTCACTTAAAGGCCTTACAGTTAATGGACAGATGTAAGATTTTGTTCAAAATAAGCAAAATTAGTGCCTTCAGCGTACAATTGATACGATAGATAATTTTCTGGTTTTGAACG